CCTAGATGCAGGACTGGTATTGTTTCACAACGACTGTCAAATTCAAATGTGTAATTTGTGTGCCCTTCCAGTAGTGGTTATACAATTTTGATCTTGCTCGTGTGCAAAAAATAAAAAATAAAAATTTAAAAAATTGACGTAGTCAAGTATAAATTACAAGAATATTTCCGTGTTGTATCAGAATCCAAACTTGTTTGACATTGAAAGCTCATTGGTTTGACATCAGAGTTCCCTAAAGAGAAAAGGAATTTTGAGAAGCCGAGCAATGTGAACCATTTTGGGCATCAAAGAAAGCTACAGAAAATACAGCACGGAAATAGTAGAAGAACCAGACTTCAATTAAGAAAAAAGTGTCATTCAAAATACACGATAAGTTGGAACAGATCAAAGGTGCTTTTTTTAACCTTCGAGAGAGAAAGAGAGAGAGAGAGAGAGAGAGAGAGAGAGAGAGAGAGAGAGAGAGAGAGAGAGAGAGAGAGAGAGAGAGAGGGGGGTGGCAGCAATAAGCAATACAAATCAAGAGATAGGACGATTTTAAAAAACTGAAGAACTGAAACCAAGATGTGATTGCTCAAACAAATCAATGGACTTCTCACTATTAAAAGACAAAGCCAGAGCAACTATTTGAACAACTATCTTTGTCTTTGTTTGGACTTTTGACATGGGGAGACTGAAAGTCCTATGTAAACGGTATTCTCAACACGAAAGAGTACAATTTAAGCAAAGGAGACACACCAAGCCAAAAGATGCACACTTGGGTTTATTATTGAAACAGAATGACCAGAAGATCAAAGTTTGCAGGATGTTGATATCTATGACTGGGCTCACCCATTGTAAATTGCTCTAGAAGAGCCCATGCCAGTTTCATCATCGCCAGGCTCACCCCGTACATACAAACACTTTCCACTATTCCCTACCCTGGGCTAACCTCTTCATGTTTTTCAAATGTCTTTCCACTTTTCTGTTCTTCATTCTTTGCGACTTTTGTACAGGTTCAACATGGCCTTCCCTTGATCGTTTAAGCTGTTGACTCCAAATTAAAACTTTTTTTGCTAAGCAGCTGCCTGATTTCCAAATGGTATGCTCAGTCCAATCCATCTCCACTGCTTTCTTCAGTTTGAAAATTTTCTGCTCATTACTTCCTCATTGGTGACTGTCTGTCCATCTGATCCTGAGGAACCTCCTCAGGCACTTATTGATTACAACCTGGATCCTCCAGAACTTTGTAAAGAGTGCTTTAGAAGAGCCCACCCAGCTGCACCACCAAGCCAAGGAGTTTCTGTTCACATCTGAGGACATGCCTCTGAAGGTTCTCACTCACTATTGCCAGCAAAGCTCTGGAAAACTGTACCTTGATCCCTGATTCTGTAACCTGTCGGAGCTTGAAACCGCCTGCACAGGTCAGGGACAATCTGCCTTGCATGTCAGGCTACTCAAATATGTGTTAAATGAAAAGGACATGTCGATCTATGAGTCAAAATAAGATCAATGTGAATTGTGTGTGAGTTTTGAGTCTTGACAACGTCAGCCAGACTAAGTGGAAATCTCACATGTCAGAAAGGAACATGACAAAGAAAGGGCACGCAATGGATAAAACCTTTGCTCTTAGGCAAGAAGACATTGATTGTGATGATTTGCCTGAATCTTCAGGGTATACTTATGTCATTGCCTATTAATTCATCCAGCTCTTGTTACATAAACATGCTCATAGTCTTCAATGCGACCTCGTATGGTGCCATCTATTACTTATGACAAAAGGCACAAGGTGGTTTGATTGTAAATGAATTCACAAGTTGTTTGATGGACCTTTTTTCAACGTGCACAAATGCATAGAAGGTTATAACAATAAATTATTATACAGCTACGGGTGTGTGTGTGTGTGTGTGTGTGTGTGTGTGTGTGTGTGTGTGTGTGTGTGAGAGAGAGAGTGTGTGTGTGTGTGTGTGTGTTTGTGTGTGTGTATGTGTGTGTGAGTGTGTGTGTGTATCAGCACAAAATTGCATCTATTTATAATGCCATGGGTGCCTTTTCCACTAATGCAAGCACCGAAATTGAAAACAAAATCTTATTAGAGGCCACACTCATGCAGGTAGAAAGTATGCACGGCGTCATTGAGCGGCAGCATTAAATAAAAGACATTTTCAGAACTGCAGTTTTTAAAAATTATATCAACGAAGACCCTATGAAGTGAAATTTGTGGATCACATTTTCTTCCATGATTTTGCCAAATTGCAGTTCACAAAACTGTCAGGTCGGGTAGAAAAAAGAAGACCAAACTGTTAATGCAGTATAAAGCCTCTGATATACATAAGGAGAAATTCTTTGCAGACTGAACTCTAACGAAGAGTCTTCTAAAGTTCAGAGACAATGGAAACTTAACAAACAGTTCCCTACCACTGTATCATTCTACTTATAAATGGCAAAAAGTAATTTTCAGGATCTGAATCACAAAAAGAGTAAGATAATGAAAGATGACCATTCAGTTTTTCCACAGTTATAGAAGTTTGACATAAATCAAGTTTTCAACCCATCCACCACCCCTCCCCAAAGGACATACACTTAAACACAATTGGAGAAAGAAGGACCGAAAGAGAGAAAGCAAGCAAATGAAGGAGTATGATTTCATAAATTACATACAATATCCCATTTATGTAAGAGTGAGAGATGTTTATAGAGGTAAAATAATCAATAGCTTTCTGTTTCACTCAGTCTGTAATTTCATTCTCAGTTTTAAATTGGCCTTTCAAAATCTTTCTTATAACAGTATTTCGTGCTTTCATATATTTTAAAACTTAATAGAGCCTCAAATAAGAGAAAACATACTGCCTAATAACCGTGAATACAACACCGCGTTCCCAAAAGCCTACTGATGAAATCGTGAATTCCACATATTCATGACCGCATCAGACGAGATTCGAATATGAAAATCGTGAATCCCACACTTTTTCGAAAAAATGACCATCTACAGTAAAAAATGTACTACAGTATTATTTCTAATAGCTAATTGATTAGATTTATCCATTTAGTTTTTATCTTGGACGCCAAATGACGAAGAAAATCAGTTTTTTCCCTCTCCTGTAAAATTTGCTTCGTGTGGAATTCACGGTTTTATCAGGCGACCGGCGATATGAAAGCAAAAACTCAGATTCTAAGCTCTGAGTAACACATGGTAGGCAGCCTGGAAAAACAACACACTCTTGAAGAAAGGTTTGGGTGGTCCGTGATTTAGTGAACTCTGACCGATACCTCGTCATCCTGTTAAAGTTCTGGAGGAGCTTGAGACCACTATATTTGAAGAGAAAAAGAACCAGCAGTTATAGCAAGATGGGGCTGCTCCTCGGGACTCCAGGTCTGGGTTGGGTCAACAACCATTTTGGTAACAGGATTCAGTCCGACTAAGGAAAAGTGGACCCCAAGCGATTCGGACCTAAGTCCACAGGACTTTCACCTTTAAGTAAGGGTGTTTGAAGAACAAAGTGTGAGGGGGAAAACCTTCAAAAGTGTCTTAGACTTGAGAGAAACCATCACGGAGGGCACAAGAGAGATTTTCCCCCCCGGAGCAGCGTCAACGGGTGATTGTCAATTCAGTAAGCCTGTCAAAATTTGCTTTACTCGAAATTGGAGGTATCTGTAAGTTATCTTGTAACTTTGTTTGTGGCTGTCATATTTTCTTGTTATTAATACATAATAAATCTAGTTGGATGTTCCACATTTTTGCAAGCTTTGGTGTTTGTGCCTTTAGTCATAACTGTTTTATTGACATTCTTTTGGACTAACTTTTTTCTGGACATCTCGTGCATTGTTTGCTTATCCGGAGTAAACAAAAAAGTACACGAGGCCCGGTAGAATTCATTTATGACTAGCAAAAAGCAAGAGCGATTGTAAGCTGGAAATGACAGTTTAAAAAATTAGACCTATCAGTGACATCCTTCAACCACTCACCACTCTTTTGTGCTCATTTTTACTTTAAAGTAATTAAAGTCAGTCAGATCACATTGAACTGGGGAGTAAACAAGCTATATTGAATTCAAAAGCCTCAAATTCCAGAGGTTGGGTTGTTTGAGAAATCCTCAGAGCTACAGTTGGTCTAAGGGGTGACCCTAAAACAGAGAGGTGGGTGGGGGTTCCAACCTTTATAACAACCTTAAAGTGTTAAAAAGGACGTAAACTTTCTCATCTACGTAAGCAAAAATTAAATCAATGTGAATGCACGACCTTGAAGAGTTAAAAAGGATGTTCACTTATGCCTTACCATCCACATAAACAAAAGTTATATCTTTGTGAATGCGTACCTGTAGCCTACGTGAATTATCTGAACCATAAAAGAGTGCTATGATCAAAATCTCACCACACCAAACCTCCCTCCTCCCCCCCACTCCCATTGTCCCAAAAAGGTTAGATTCTCTTCTTGGCACAAAAGAAAGAGGTCAAAACATCACTGAAACTCAAAGGCTCTTTTAATTGTGTTGTCCAGAGACAAATTAGTTGCAGGAAAACCCTTAGCTGCTAGCAGCCTGAACAAGAATGGCATTGACTATCAATCGAGTCGCCAAGAGCCCTGAATAAAGTCAGACATTCTAAAGTTTCATATTTGCATATTTGTTCAATATTCTATCCCAATCGCATCAAGATATATATATATATATATATATGTATGTATGTATGTAGTTATGTTATGTATGTATGTATGTAGTTATATATGTATGTATGTATGTAGTTATGTTATGTATATATATTTTATATATACACATATGTGAGGCATCGTGGCGAAATCAGGCGCTCGTCAAAATAACAAAATCAAAGAAATTGGTATTTGTTTGGCTGATGGGCAATTTTTTTTCTAATTTAATTTTTTTGGCTCAGCACCTTTTACGTCCATTTAAAAAACACATTTTTGTTTTACTGAAAAACATTGAGTAATGGCACAAAAAATTTAAATTTTCAGTTTCCAAGGACTCTTAGGCTATGGAAGTTACCAGACTTTGGCCGACATTTTCTCATTAATTTTACCTCTGAACCTTGCGAGCCTGATCTCCTTCAATCGCAATTATATTTCCACTTCCATTCAACATAAAAGGATATTTTTTTCACCAAATGGGAGGCAAATGAACAGGCTTTAAGATGATACCAATAACCCCATATGCTAAAAAATTGAGGAGCGCCTGACTCCACCACGCCGTGACACATGTGACATATTATTATTTATACTTTACTCAAAGCTAGGGTGAATACAATGCTATGGGATTTGGGCTTTATTTCATGCACAGTAGCACAAATTTCATTGCATAATTTCTGTAAGACAAATGCATCTCACAGATTACACATATGCATCGATATTCCCCAACTTAAAAATTTCTTAAATATAAAACAGTGGAGACTTAAAAGGTGATTTCAAATCACAGAAACAGAAGTATTAAAGTACATAAAAAAACAAATTCACATAAAAATACTATGTAAGTTCAAAACTCCTTAAAAATAGTTTCATAGTGAATGATTGCTTCTCACGTCTTTAGCAAACTAGTAACACTTCAAACAAGTCCAAACTAGCTTTAGCATATCATCAAATCCATGCACCTGAAGGGGAGTCAGAAATCAACAGCACCATGCCCGATACACAAGGCAAAGTATGCTCTCACTGCTGCAAGTGATGCCACTTGAGAATAAGTTTTTATATAAATAAATCTGCCCCTTTTCTACGATTCTATTTTTTAATACACAAAATAGTTAATTAAATGAAAATCCATTTCAGAATGTCAATGAATAATATATTCAGTCAGCGGTTGGTGGGCGCTCTGGATTAATCGTTTTCTTCTCTTTTGTTTTCAGTGATATTATTATCCTTATCCTAACATGATAAATGAATTCACTGTTGTTTATACGACAATTGTAAAATCTACTTCCTATCAATACAATTAAGGTCATTTAGGAGGCCGGCCATTCAGGGCTAACCCAGGCTGAGTGGGAAACAGCATCTCAGCGCACGGAGGGAGATACTTGATAAAATAACTTCCCTACTCAAGACTTGTAAAAATCATGGGGGCTTTTTTTGCCTTCAACAGCCATGAGCCCAACCATTACATCACACAAGCTGCGCCATTGCCATGGTTATTGTCATTCACTTGCAGTTAACTACGTCATGTTTAACTTAACAAAAACCACAATATTACAATGTGATTAGTTTGAATAATTTTATCACACCACTCCCAGGGTAGAACTCATTTCCAAAGCTGATTGCAAAACTGTACCATGAATAGCTATACAAGAAGAAAATCAATAAAACGAGTAAGTAAATCAGGTTAACACAGATCAGGGATTACAAAGGTTAAACAAAAGAGGCAACTGCCACTAAATGTCGATATACAGAGAATGACTCAGCAAAAGCAGAAAGGGGAACAAGAAAACAGAAAAATAGTAAGTACATCAACAGAATCTTCTGCGCATTTCTGTCCCTCAGTAGAAATAAATGTAAAATTAAGAAAAAAATCTTAGAACTGAACCATGACCACATGATCACCTCAGGAAGTAGGAAGCCAACAAAGAATAATAAGAGCCATCATGGCCTTAAATCATAGAGAAACAAAAGGCTTTAAAAAAATGAAGGGTCACGAGCATTAAAACTACTTTCTTAAATCATAGGAAGCCTGAATCCCTTTATAACAAATTCACTAATGAATTACCATAGTAGGTAGCGATATAATACTTTATACAATGCAAACCATGACAAAATGTCTGTAGGAAATACCCTGTCAGCTTGAAAACAGTGACCCTGTCCTACCATCATGGTTTGTAGTAAGGAAAGATATTCATAGGGAATCTTCGCTTCTAATGCAAAGAACATAGAGACATTTTCTACATCAGCAACACTCCCATTAGTGACAGAGAGTACTAAAAAGGAAATGACAACTGCCAAGTTTCTATTTTATATTTTTTCTAACCTCGAACAAGGGCTGGTAATCTTGAATCCACACATCATAAAAAGCTACATTTTTCCAAGATTTCTCCTTTGAACACACTGTATCTTTCTTAGAGTAAGCTAACTTGGCCAGAAACAATGACAACAACTCATCCCATCATGCTGGATCTAAAGCGGTAAAACAGAATTTTGAGAAAAAGTTGATTAAAGCTGGGTATTCATGAATTTGTAGACTTGTTGACAGCATGGAAGCTTATAAATAAAATGAAAATCATGCACAATTGGGATAAAACATGTATTTCTAGGAAAGTAGATAGCTGAGGATGAAATGGAAGCAAAAACCTCACACAGCTTATCTCTTTTTACATTTTGCTAATGACAGATGATCAACTTCCCCTCAATAACAAAGACATTATAATTCATTTGTGACAAGTGAGTATGACCCTGGTTTTCTTAGAAGTAAATAAATACAATATCAAACACAACAAGCAATTTCCTGCAAGCACAAAAGAGAGAAAAACACCCCTTGGAGCCGAACACAAGAAATGATTGTAATTTTGACGAGTCCTGAAGGAATGTTGCACTTCACACGTATGAAGAGATTTGGCTTGCATAACCCTCAAAACAAATTTTGGAAAAACAAAAAAAACCCAACCTTTTCCTCACGCCCCACTTTATTGAAGAACTTCACATTGCAGAGTGAGGGTCTGGTTAGGGAAAGCCACAAACATAAAAAGCCATACACAAAAGTGTGTAAGCCTGGGCATTAATACAAAAAAGTATCATATTTATCTTTATATGTACAAGTGTGAAGGTTTACTATAAGATTAAATGCATTACAGGCCTCTTTGAAGCGTTATAAGATATTAAAGACCTAGTTCCTGTGAAACTATGTGACTGTCAGAACAGGGCACCAGTTCTCTGGTGAAAATTGTAATTTTGAACGTTTTACGCCCCCATCAATACAGGCAGACTAAGTTCTATGTGGAGACCACTGAATATGTAATACAGTCATATGAACATCTGATTTGTATCAAACAAGTCTAGTGAATAACTCATGTATGCGATACATATACACAGGCCACAGACTAATATTTCAAGTGCACAATACATGTTTAGACAGAGACATTAACGTTTCATGTTAGAACGTCAATTACCTTGAACAAGACCAACCTGACATTGCAACACAGACTATAATTAGGTAACTGCAGGAGTTTTTTCAACAGCACAAAATTTCCTCAGCGTACCATATTTAGAAATGCCACAAAAACTGAATATCCCTGGTACCATCTTAATGCTGATGCATGTATGAAATTTGGCATACGCAGAAAAACAACAACTGAAAAGCCAAAAACAACCTGTTTTCTCCAGAAACCAAGTTTTGTTCTTATCTTGATTTATAGTCTGAACAAAACAATACTCATAAAAGAGGTATGTATCTTAATAAAAACATGAAAACAGTTAAATATCTTATCCACCTTAGAATAATAGTTAGCAAGTATCACAGTTGAAAAATGAAAGTTATTACACAGTACCGACTTTCCCAATCATGATAAAAATGGCAACTTTACGTTCCATTGCGTGTATTTGTTCATAAAATACACAGCAACCGTAGCAACTCCACATGTAATGACAGCAGCCCCGACAACATTCACAGCTCGTCCATACATGTTGCGTTTGACAGCCTCGTGAGACTCTTTCTTTTCCCTGTGCAGTGAAGACTTGGATAACACAATTTCCTCTGGATTCAGAGATTTTGGCCGAAGTTTGTAGATAACCTCCAGGGCGGCCCGCTCACCTGCCTCCACGGCCCCGCTCATATAGCCACTCCATGCTGTCGCTGTCTCAGTACCAGCAAAATGAAGTCTTTGGGGAATAGAAAAATGGGAACAGATTAGTAAACTAACCGAAAGAAAAGTGAACAATCTCCACCCTCCCCCCCCCCCCCTTCCCTGGAGGCACAACAAAAAAGTTCAATAAGCATATTCAGGGTGCAAACAAATGGTAACAAATACAAAATTTTATGAGGAAACAACTGTACAACATGGGTTCATGGCCTCTATAAACACGGTTAGGTTATCTAAGAGACAGAGCCACCAGTTTTGATAGCAAACCCTTGAAGTGAGCAGATCATTATAAAACTACTTCATCTTAGAAATAAGAACAGATCTGACTCTTAACCCTTAAATCTATACCACTGGTAACCGCTAATGCCGTATTTTCCTGTAGGCCTACAACTGGTAGCCACTGGTCAACTTTATCATTTAATTCCCAGTGCTAGAAACAGGGCATGTAACTCCAGATGACTCTGTCACAAGCAGAAAGTGTGATAATGTCATAAAAGCCATTTTACATAAAAAGTTAGGAATTTTTGCATTAAAAAAAAAAAAGTGATTTTTCGCTGCCACGCCCATCAGACTGCAATATTTTTTACATTTTTTATGCTGAACCAGACCCAGATAATTATTGCTAGTCAGATGACGATAGTGGGAGTGGCAGCGGATCGCCACTAGAGCTGCCAGAGGCTAGATCTACGCCTGGGCCTAATGATGCCTTGACTGTCGTGGAGTCAGGGATCCCACATAAGACTTTACTTGTAGAGTTGGTCCTAAAATCAATGTTTTAACTTCTTTCCCCTTTTGTCCAAACTGTGCATTCATACATACAGAACACATTCAATTTTAAGTAAAATCAGACAATTAAAGACGGTAAATAAAACAATGAAACAACCTGAATTCTTCTATTACCTCCATTTTAATTCAGAATTCTAGGGTGGAATGAAAAAAAAAACCGCGAGGGCTTTAAGGGTTAAACTAAGTTAAGAATTGAGGGAAAGTAATGAATAAAAATTGCTCAAAATCAGCCTTTCTCTTTATTAAAGTTAAAGTTCAACCCAAGTTCAACAACACCCTATTACTGGTTTGAACCAGGGTCATCTAGGTCTTAATTCAGCACGATACCTTCTGAGCTCACAGTGTGCCTTGCTTAACCCCATCACAGCAAAAAAAATTGTAACAAAACCAATAAAATAATAATACACATACCTCCCCTCAGGGTGTTGAATGGCATGGCAAAAGTTCTGCATGCCTCCTGGGGACACGAATGACACTGGGCCACCCCATGAGTAAGGCTCTGTGTTCCAGTCCTTCTCCACATAGTCTAGGAAGGAATAAACTTCTTCCCCAAAGAAGAAAGCAAAATGATCTAGTATAGCCTTCTGCCGAACTTTTGCCTGGAACAAGGAAACAAAGTAGAATAAAAAAAAAAGAATAACAGACACCATACAAAAATAGCATTTAATAATATTTTTTTCACCAGAGTATCAGTCTGCGTATGAGTTTAAGAGAATGATCATCCTATTTTGGTTGTGAAAATGAGAGGCAGCAGACAAGGACAACATGGTAACATATGGCAAAACTGCGAAGAGATGGTTTAAAGCAAAAGAAGATGATGTCAGTTTTAACATAGTAAGGTCCATCTTTAATGGAGACAAAGTCAGTCAGGTGGAGATCTATGGAAACTCCCCAATAGATGGACTTTGAAGAACACTTTATGTGCAAACTATGCAGCCATCGTGTAGGAAAAGAGCAAGAAACTTATCAGCTGTCCCTGAGGTTTTAGCATCACTCATCAAGAGTACAGAAAAATCAGTTTGGGAAAAATAGCATACATCATAAGAAACACATGAAAATGAGACATAGGTTGCTGGGCCTGAAGATTCAAAACAAGGCAAACAGTAAAGATTACAATTAAAAATCATACACAAATTTTTTCAAAAGCCAATTGCAGCAAAAGATTTATCATAATATGCATGCAAAAATACAGGATTTTAACAAAGCTATGACTCTTCTGCTCCAATAACGTGGGAGGTTTGTGATATATTCATGTGTTTCTTTATATCAAAAATGTTTTTTGCCGTTTCAAAATTTAATTTTTGGTAAGAAGCGAAAAGCCTTCTTGTTCGAGAAACAATCCGTTGAGCTTTCCAAGCTCGATCTTCCAGCGTTCGTCTCCAGCATAGACGCGATGAAAATGAAATACCCAAGTAACTATAATAGGTTAAAGTCTCTAAGATCTTATCCTCCCAATACCATCTCTCAGATCTTTTGAGATAGCCTCCATTTCTAAAAACAACAATCTTACTTTTCTCTGTATTCACTTTTAAACCCCATATCTGGCTGAAATCATATAACACATTGATTTTCTTTTGTAAACCTCTGACATTGTCGTCAAAAAGACTTGGGTCATCAGCGTACATTAAACATAAAATACCATCATTATCATTGGGCAATACCTGTATAGCATGGGAATTTGAATCTGAAAGGTGTTTTTCAAATTGAGATATAAACAAAGAAAATAATATAGGGATAATATAGGGCTAAGTATGCAGCCTTGTTTGACACCAGATGCACATTGGAAGTATTCAGTAATATATCATTTCATGGATCCTCGTTCATCTGAACAGACTTTAACACATGAAAGAACACTTTGATACATATTTTTCAAAATAGTATACATTGGTCCAGAACAGCCAAGACTTCTCAATACTGTCCAAAGCGTTTCTCTGTCAACCCAATCAAGTGCATTAAAAAAGTCAACAAAACATACATAGAACCTTCCGCCAGGCTTGGAGATATATTTTAGGACCCAAGATTGGAGAGAAAATATATGATCTATTGTAGAGTTATTTCGTCTAAAACCAGCCTGAGATTCAGGGATGAAGTTACCTTCATCACACCATTGTTGCAGTCTTCTATTCAATATGAATGAGAACAATTTACCAAGAACATATAGTAAACTAATACCCCTATAGTTATTTACATCATTTATGTTTCCTTTTTTGTGCAAACTAAATATCATAGACTAGGTCCACTCCTCCACTGCCTGTGAAGAAAACTGAATTGAAAAGCGATAGGAGAAATTCAGCCAGGTCCTGGCAACCGAATTTGTAAAATTCCGGCGAAAGGCCGTCAGGTCCACAAGCCTTGCCAGATTTTAAATTATTTATAGCCAATACAATTTCATCTCTTGAAATGGGTGAATTTAACAAGTCACCTGAGACTGTAAGGAAACAGATGAGTTCAAGCTGGTTGACTTGTCATTTCTGTTGGCGTTACCACCAGACCCCGAGAGGGGGTTTAGCAATTTCTCAAAATAGACATACCATTCTCTGAGTTTGATAGTATTCTTTGTTACCGGGTTTTTACACAAAAGGGTATTGACTGGTTTCCAAAAATCTTTCGAATTGCGCTTCAAACAATTCTGAATAAGAATTTGAGTTTGTAATGGTGTATAATGTGATTTTTTAAATTTACAAAGGTTTTTAAATTTCTTTTTCAAAGCGAAGTAGTTATCTTATGCTTCATTTGAGTTCGAAATAGGAAATTCCTGTAATGCTTTGTATTTTTGCCTTTTTGCATAATAGCATTCATTATCAAACCATGGTGGTAGGGAGGTACACTTTTTGAACCTTTTAACACCTGTAGATTGCATACAATTGGCTGCGCTTTTAACACAATTATTCAACATCACAACAGCATCGTTTGTTTTACCTACATGGATAAGATCAGAAAAATCATTTTGAACACATAACAGGTTGTCCTCTAATGCCTGTACATAGTCTTCGATGTCTGAGTTGTTCCAAAAACATTTCTGGATATCATATAATGGACACAAAACTTCTTGTTCTATGGGTTCACATTTGATGCCACGAGCTGTCAGCATTAGGCTAAGAGGGAAATGGTCAGACTCTGATCTAGGGAGTATTTTAAAGGCTTTAATTACATCCTGAAACCCATCCGTGCTTACAATGATGTCATCTACAACTGACTTGCCTTTGTTTGCAATGCAGGTGATGTTCCCTTCCTCGTCTACATTTGTTCTGCCATTCAGTATTTAAAGTTTGTTAATTTTACAAAACTCTATAAGTTGAAGCCCAAATGCGTTTGTTTCTAAATCCCCAGACTTAGGCGCAGCCAAACTGCGGATGGCGCTGGCCTGAGCTGGCCTGGGGCTGGCCTGGGTCAGGGGGCTGGTGGTGCACCAGTCATGGTGCCAGTGCTGGTGTGTTCAGCTGGGGCTGGGCTGGGGCTGGGGCTAGAACTAGGAGGACATAGGTCATCGGTGCGTGTCTCCTGTGTTAACATTCTTTTCCTGAGAAATATTTTAGGCCTACACACGTGTGGTTTCAGTTTCAGTTCCTCCATCTTGTGTTTTTCATTTAAACTGCGCTATCTTCGTCTTCTCTAAAAGTCATTCTGACGATGAGGTAACCATAATTGTTTTACTTCTTTTGAAGAAGCTATTGCAAAAGAAAAGAAGAAGATCACGGATTCACCCTCCTATCAACGCCAAAAGGAACGCAAGAGGATTTTTATGTAGACCTTATTCCCAACTGTGTGATGACGAGCAGAAGTTTTTAAATTACACATGAAATATACCCACTACTACTACATGTAGTAATGTAGGCCTAGGCCTAGTACTAGGCTACGGTACTACACGTCTATCAACTTGGTTAGAGCACACGTATGAAGACACAACCGTTCAGGGCCCAACAACTATTTCTACATATCTAGAACTACATCTAGCTAGACCTACAATCACCTGCTTATATTAACTAATCCATCAGTTTATCAAAACCATACAGAAAATATTCACTCACATATCAGCAAACATTTGAAATCACGAAAATGTTATGAAGTCTTCGCCTAGCCGGTAGAGATGAAAGAAGGTCATTGTATAAAAATCCATAAAATCGTGAAATAAAGACGTATTTTACACAAAATCCACTAAATTTATATCGAATAAGGTTGCAACCAATGCATAATTTCAATATATTTAACAATTTTGTTAAACCTGTCCGCAAATGTTGACAAAATGCCAAAATGAATGCTGAATCCAAACTGCCACTACCAGCCTGGGGCTACGAAAAAATAGAGCATACACTACCAGGCCTGGCGCCACGGACTGGTGGAGCGCGAGGCTGGACCTCCACCATCTTCGGTCTGGCTGCGTCTATATAAAATTACACGTGATTTATTGCCGAGCCACCAGCCCCGGGCCAGCCCCAGGCCAGCGCCATCCGCAGTCTGGCATGGGCCTTACGACCCCTGACATCAAAATCCATAAAATCTGAGATAAGATCGCAAGTGTCAAATTCATATTAAAAAGACGCCACGTTATCAGGGCTTATTGATCAAGTCCAAAAGCTTATGAATCTGAGACAGTACAGACAGCACGTTGCAGGTATCCCAGCTCAAAAGTAATGGAATTTCTAGTGAACAAGAAGTTAAAAAGGAAATTACTGTCAAAATATTCGTATATAACCACAAGTCAAAAGACATAGAGGTAGAGAAAGTTGAGCACTCACAGTCTTCTTCCCCCACTCCACAGCGGGTTGACCACCCACAAAGCCGATAAGAGCCGGGCAGCCAGACTCAGAGGTGCCGTCGTAGGTGATACAGAGAGGCCTTCTGGCACAGCCGTGCACTCTGGAGATGCCTCCGTCAGTGACCACCTCACCAGACATGTTGGATGCTCTCCAAAATGCCTGAGGGACAAGGAAGGATCCCACAAGATACAGTATCCATGATTAGGAAGCAGACAGTCACATCTCGCGATTGTAATGATTGTAAATATTTCATATTCCCATCGACACAATTTACACCAAAGAAGGAGGAGGAGGAGGAGGAGGAGGAGGAGGAGGGGATTGTACTATCATATTTTAACTCCAATTCTATTCCCTCTGTTCAACTTCTTTTTAACCCTTATTCTGTACCAGCAACACACTTAACCAGCAGCTAACTGCCAGGAATACAGAGATGGAAGCAAAATGCTAATATTTATTCTATGTCTGGAAGAGGCAAAAGTACTAATAATAAAGACAACAAGACAATATAGCATCTCTCCAATGTTCATCTCTCCAACACGTGCCGTAGTATGCCAGGCATCTAATCTGCATATCAGTACTTAGCTTGATGTAATCCTATAGTGAGAAAATAAACGCTTCCGTCAGTGTGCGCAGCCACAAGCCTTGATTTCCATTTGCTAGTCAATTAGGTGTACCTGTGACACAATTTGTCAAGCAAGCATTGATCTGAACATAGCCTCCTGTGGCTTCTTTTATGATACAAAAATGGCTTGTTTTAGTAGAGGTTCAACAGCGCTCGCAACTGCATAAGGTCATAATATGAGCTCCAGAAGATTAGAGGTGTTACAAGAGAGTAACAAACATAAAAAAGAAGAAGGGGAGATAAGGATGATAGATGTCTGATAGGAAAGAAGGAGCAAACCACACCAGAGCACCCGCCAACCACCCACCAAAAATGGCTGACATCAGGCATGGTACTAAAGACGAAAAAGATTTGTCATGTGTAGACAGTCTTGACAACAACACAGAAGACACCACTCACTTTCTCAAAGGTCACAATAACTTTGATCATGCTCCCCATAGGCATTCTCTTGATGAAGTCAACTTTCTCACTGGACAGTGGAGGGTTGAAGGTGATATGTTCTGGAAAACAACAATACACAAGAATATTATCACCACAAATAAACATTGCGAATGTCCTTAAGACCACTCATGACTTTGTTCTCATTAGCATTCTCCATTTCAAGATATTCTTCAGATTTGCAATCCTTCAGAAACATGCACATAGAAGGTATAACACAATTCAAAATAAGGCCTTTGAGTAATTTAAAATAATAAGCCATACTGACTTGATAAATGAAAGACAGCTACAACTGAGTTTGTTTTGTTAGAGGTTTTACGGCACCCGCAACTGCATAAGGTCAGATGAGCGCCAGAAGACTAGAGGTGTTACAACAGAGCAACAAACATACAAAAGGAGGGGAGATAAGGACGACTGATGTTTGATAGGAAACAAGAAGAAAACCACACCAGAGCACCCGTCAACCACCCACTGCAACTGAGGGTAGACACATACAGTTCATCTGGACAGCATGCCACAGTTAACATGCTGAACCGTACCCCAGAGGCACCATCATGGGAAAAGAAAAACACAAACATAATTATACACACGTCCATTACTATGTTCACCACAAAAGATGACCACAGCCACCTGAGCAAGAAGTCCCTCACCCTGTCCATGCTTGAACAAAGATACCCACGAGAAGCATGGATAAGGATCTATACAGACAGATCTGCCACTGATGCTGTGAAAAGAGGAGGAGCCGGAGTGTACGTACAGTTCCCAAATGGACGACGACAAGCAGAGGCAGTCCCAACAGGGCGACATTGTACAAACTACAGGGCAGAGACGGAGGCTCAAATACATGCAGCAAACATCATCAAGAATGTGGTAGACCCCCAAAGCCAAGTAGTATTCCAAACAGATGCCATGTCAGTACTGCAGGGAATCACTTCTGGCAAACTACCAAGGCTACGAAAAGTAATTGAGGACATCCCATGTCAGATGATCATGCTGCAGTGGATTCCATCACACTGTGGTGTCTTAGGAAATGAGCAGGCAGACAGGATGGCCAAACTAGGAGCACAGAAAGAGCAACCAGACAACAGCGTTGACTGCCCAGAAATAAAAACTATTTTATAAATACACTATTTTAAGCATCTCAGACACCAGATGGCTACCATGAGCTGTCCCCTCCAAGAACAAGTGATTACCTTCAGACTAAGGACACAACACACAAGACTGAGGCAACATTTGTGCAAATGTTTTAAACTAGTACAATCACCAAAATGCCAGTGTGGAGAGGCGGACCAAACTGTTGAACACATCCTTCAGCACTGCAAGACACACAGGGCCCTGAGACAGGAAACGTGGCCAACCCCACTGACGCTACAAGAGAAGCTATATGGGCCGACAGATGAACTAAGCAGGACGGCCTAATTTATGACAGATACCAGACTTCAAGTGTGATGCGATCGAGAAGAAGAAAAGAAGATCTGGACAGCATTATTCTGCTAAAGTCAGCCATAATTTGAGCCACATATGTTGCACTGATAAAATGGTAATCAGAACAAAAATGTATGACTGTCTACTTCAAAGCATTAAGTACTCCAAGTTAAGTGCTTCTAAAATATCAATTTCAGAGCAATGGTCTTTCACTTTTAAAAAACCCCAGATAATATTCCAGTTTTGTCATATATGCATTTGTCTGTAGAAGCTGAAAACCTATTTTCACCAGTCTAACATAAAAATAAAAAACAAGAAAACAAACTTCTAAAAGAAGCTAAACCAGACATTCCACCATTCACATAGACACTTCGAGGCAAACAAGCAAGGGTTACCTAGTGCCTTGGGCGGTGTGGCCAGAATGACGTATTCCGCACAGAATTTCATGCCACCCTTCGTCCAGACCTCCACAAACTTAGAATTTTCCTGATGACAACAATATAAGAATTAAAATAAACATTCTTTTCAAGACCATAACATGAGAATAACTGAACAAACAATGTACTGGGAATTTTTAAAGGACGTAACCTATGCAGTGTTACATACAAAAATGACAGATCCTGAAGCTGACGTATAAGGATAATAGACTTGAAAGGTTTAATGAACACCATAATGTGAGATTATCAACACAAACCTGACGTTGACGTAGTGA